CCAGTCCTCTGTGGTCACCACGGCCCTGTAGTCACCGCCAGGGCGTGAGCCCAGGCGTCCCGCCAGGTCGGAGCCTGGGAAATTCCATCGGGAGCCGCCTGCGCTTCCCGGCCCCGGCGGGGTGGCCGCGCCCCACCCCAGAGCCAGCCGCACCTTAGCCCTGGGTGAAGGACCTGTTACACCCAGCACTGATGTCCCACCCCAGACCCAGCCACACCCCAGGCTGGGCCAGGGGCCCTGTTATACCCAACCCCTGACACCCCCCACTTCCCCCTCCAGCAACAACCTTGTTATACCCAACCCTCACTATCCACCCCAGAGCCAGCTGCATCCTGGCCCTGGGTGAGGGGTCTGTTATACCCAGCCCCAATGTCCCACCCCCGAGCCAGCCACCTTCCAGCCCCAGCAAGGGGTCCCTGTTATACCTAGCCCTGATGTTCTCACTCAGAGCCAGCCACATCCTAGCACTAGTCAAGGAGCCCTGTATCACCAGTGACAGAGGGGTCCCTGTTATACCCAGCCCCTGACACCCTACCCCAGAGCCAGCAGCACTCTAGCCCTGGATGAAGGGCTCTGTTCTACCCAGCCCCAACACCCACCACAGAGCCAGCCACATCCCAGCACTGCCCAGGGAGTCTTGTGAATCCAGGAGTTGGAGCTGGGAAGAGATTTCCTCAGGTCCCTTTCCAGGACACCTGGGTTCCCTTCTCTGGGGCAAGAGTGGAACCTAGTGCTGGTGGTGAGCTTGGTATGGTGGGGGCATGCTGGGAGCGCAGATGCCTAGGTTCTAGACCCACTATGCCTGACTCGGTGGGGAGGGCGAGGATTCATGCCCCCCATGCACCCCTATCCTGCAGTGGATAGTCCCATAATGCACTGCTATGCCAGAGGTCCCAGCCTCAATGCAGACCCAACTGGGGTCAGCAGGAGACATGGCATGGGCGGGGGGCCCTCCAGGGCCTATGACTCAGCCGGGCGGGGCAAGGAGGCAGAGGCTTCCGGGGCAGGGCAAGGGCCCCAGAAATCCTCAGGCAGGTCTTACATGAAAGGAGCTCTGCATATACCAGTGACATGCCACACACATGCAAGGCCAGGGAAATGGCTGGTGTAGTCTGCATGTGTGTGGCATGCATGGGATACATGCCCCGGATGTGTGTGTAATACATGCACTGCACAGACATGAAATATACCTATGGGACATGCCCGCAATACATGTCCCAGATGTGTGTGTAATATATGTACCAGACATAGGTGGGCAATACATGCAATACACATGCCTGCGTCATGCATGCGATGTATGTCCTGGACACCCGTTCAATACACACATTGGACCCAAGTGTACAATATGTGTGTCATACAAGTACTAGACATGGGCAGGCAATACATGCACTGGGCACACGTGCAATGCCCGCAACACACATGCCTTTAGCAGGCATGAAACGCACATACTGGACGTGTGATTACACACACCAGCGCCATATGTGCAATGCACATGCTGCACATGCCTGTACGAGGCACAAGCATGTAACACACGTACAAAACTACACCAAACCCCCATCTCCGGGCCCTCACTCCCGACCTGCAGCCCCAGCCCGCGTGTCGTGTGCCCCCCACCCCTCCCCCCAACAGCC